TTGATCCCCTCGTATTGAAGGGAGACCTGTGCTTAGCAGTGGGACTTTCAAAAGGCTGCATACATGCATATTATATTTATTTTAAAGTTTCTATGACCAATATCGATTATAGAAAATCATTATTAATGAATGAAATCACACATAGGTATGTTAGCTAAAACAATCTAAATACTTCTCTAACGAGTTTTTAATTTTTTTTGTTTGACATGAGGTCATCGGATGAATATAATAGAAGTTTTTTTTTCGATTTGTCATCATACCATTCATTATAATATAGTATCCACATACATATATTTGTGGTTTACATATATTTGTATTGTCATTTAGTGTATTTAGGTTCCTATTTTATGCGGCGTTTTTACGCTTATTGTAATCTGTCTCAGTGAATTTTAATGGATAATTGTATGGTGTAAAGAAATATTTTTATATTTTATATGTATATGTAATGTATACATTTTTACTAATCTATACTATAATATTATAAAGATGTAAAGTTTGTGAGTTTGTGACGTTGTAGGGGATAATCTCTGGATCTACTGAACCGATTTAGATGAAATTTGGTAAGAAGATAGTTTGAGACCCTAGGAAGGACACATGATACTTTTTATCCCGGAAATCATTCCTTAAAGGTGTGAAAATGAGGATGAAATTTTGTATGCGGAAGCAAGCTAGGGACGAAGCAAGCTGAGTCGCTAGTTTTATCTATATAATACTGATATTAGGGAGCTGAAGATATTGTTTGTTTTTTTGTTTGTTTGAACATGCTAATCTATGAAAATACCAGGTACGTTAAATTTTTTTTTGTTTAAAAAAGGAAAGTTCGACTTACGCCTGATTAAAAAAAAAGAAAAAAAGTTATGTTTGAAAGAAAAAAAGATGATTAAACACACATAAGTATTTAAAACATAGCTAAAGTTTATATTTTTTTTCTATAATTGTATATATATTTATTTCCTACACACTTTACCTATTTACTCAATTGAACGTCACCGGTTATTCCCCAAATTAACCTTTTTTTTTAAACAATACAATGACCATTATGTTTCATCCGAAATATTGATCATTTGCTTTATTTTATTAATTTACTATTTATTATCCAACTTTAATTATAGATCCGAACAAATGTTACACATTAAAATTCCCCACCGGACTCAGTTTTTGATTGTTCGTGCTAAATTCAGAAAATACTATACAGATTTTCATTTGATTCTCACCAATAGAAAGAAAGAATATCTAAGAAGGTTATCCATACTAATATTACAAATGCGAAAGTAAATTTGTCTGTCTGTGTGTCTATCTATATGTTTGTTACCTTTCACGCTTATTCCACTGAATCAATTAAGATGAAATTAGTTATGGAAATAGTTTAAAACCCTAGAAAGGGCATAATTTTTCCCTTAGGGTGTCCCTTAAGGGACATTAGGGATATTAGGGAGCTGAAGATATTGTTTGTTTTTTGGTTTGTTTGAACATGCTAATCTATGAAAATACCAGGTACGTTAAATTTTTTTTTTGTTTAAAAAAGGTAGGTTCGACTTACGCCTGATTAAAAAAATGAAAATAAGTTATGTTTGAAAGAAAAAAAGATTTTAACACACAAGTATTTAAAACATTGCTAAAGTTTATATTTTTTTTCTATAATTGTATATATATTTATTTCCTACACACTTTACCTATTTACTGAATAGAACGTCACGGGTTATTCCCCAAATTAACCTTTTTTTTTTAAATAATACAATGACCGTTATGTTTCATCCAAAATATTGAACATTTGTTTTATTTTATTAATTTACTATTTATTATCCAACTTTAATTATGATTTCGAACAAATGTTACACATTAAAATTCCCCACCGGACTCAGTTTTTGATTGTTCGTGCTAAATTCAGAAAATACTATACAGATTTTCATTTGATTCTCACCAATAGAAAGAGAGAATATCTAAGAAGGTTATCCATACAATATTACAAATGCGAAAGTAAATTTGTCTGTCTGTGTGTCTATCTATATGTTTGTTACCTTTCACGCTTATTCCACTGAATCAATTAAGATAAAATTAGTTATGGAGATAGTTTGAAACCCTGGAAAGGGCATAATTTTTCCCTTAAGGTGTCCCTTAAGGTGAAAGTTTATATGGGGAATCAATCATTACTCAAGTATTATATAGACTATCTATTTCATATTGTCTCACAACGTACCTGGAGACAACCTGAGCGAAGCGTGGGTGCGGACCTATGGAGGAGTGTGTTGATATTTGTTATTTAAGTAACTTATTATACATAATTCCATCTTATTCGATCACCTATCTATTTTTCAGTTTCCAAAAAAGTTAGTTTAAACGCTCTACATATCAAGTATTCTGATACAATTTATGAAAAAATGTAAAGCAAAAAACTCAAGATGCGAGAACAAGTGTGAACTTGACCGAAATTTTAATAAGGTAATCAGTACTGGCTGAGCCATTAACCATGTTTTACCGAACATTGATTTCTTACTCTACATTCCTACTTAGATTGTGAAGTTTAATTTTTTATAGAACAGTCAATACGTGTGTCTCTAAATTTACGCTATATAATATTATAAATGCGATCGTGCGTGTATGTATGTTTGTTTGTTACTGTCAAGCTGTAAGGGCTGGACAGATTTAGATAAAATTTAGTATTTATTAACACATATTCTATGACCTGGAGGAACACACAGCCTATTGTTAAGGAAGGCGAGCAAAGCAAAGATAAGCCGCTATCTAAAAATATTAACTTAATTGTTAATTTCTATGAACTGAAAAAATATTGTAATGAAAATGAGTTTACTCCATTGTACATATATGTACTATTCACCATATTTTACAGACAATAGAAATCATATTACAATTATAAATGCAAAACTTTATATGTGTGTATGTTTGTTATCCTTTCACGCTGTATGATTAACGATTTTTATGAAATTTAATCCAGAAATAGGCTATTAATGATAAAATTTGCCAAAAGATGATGCTATCCTGTATATTAAAAATACAAAATGGTCGCAATCGAGCGAAGCAATGGTAAATTACTATCTATACATATAATAAAACTGTAACTAAGCCGAATCTATACATTAAATATTTTTTGGAATATACAGAGGCCGAATCTATAGTTTTTAGAACTTTTATCTGTCTGTCTATCTGTCTGTTACCGCATCACAGAAACACTACTGGAGGGATTTTGATGAAATTTGGTATGGTAATAGCTGGTTATCCTGGTCAACATATAGGATACTTTTTAGCGCGGGAAAATGTCTCATTTTTGTGAAAAAATACAAAAATTGCAATGTAAAAGTAGTATACTAATATGTAAAACCTAAGAATTTGGTTTTTGGTCATATGAACGCGGGCAGAGCCGCGGGCAATACTAGTAGCTTATATAAATGTAAAATACCTAAGAAAATATAATGTATTAATTATGATTTATACTTAATAAGTTATTTTTTTACTACATTAAATGTAAAGACTAACCACAATAATGAAATCGAGTCATCTTCGGTATACAACAAAAATAATTGTCTCAAGGTGTTTAATAAATTATTATATTGTATGCACTAGTGGTTTTTGCGGGGATTATAATTATGTATTTAGTCTACTAATTGGAAGGTTTAGTGTTTAACTTAAAGGGCTGCGAATAAAATAATGGGTTCAAATCGTGCTGAGTCAAGCCCAGTAATCGTAATTTTTATCAAAAATTTCATAGTAGCAGCTTTGAATTTGAAAGTGGAGGGTAATACCCCCATGCCGAGTCTTGCATCTGATATCACCCCAGTCGTATCAGGACCCCGCCGGACTATGAAAGTGAAAGGGATAGAGAGTGCACGTTGTTTCTGTGCACATATGCACTCCTGCGCAGTGTTTAGAAGTAGTCTTCGTGTGTTGAACAACTATAGCTGAAATTCGGTACGTACATTACTTTTTTACCATAATTACTATTAAGTTAAGAATCACTATATAATATAATTTCTCTTTTTATATAGAAATCTGCAAAATGAAACGCCTAATTAAGAAAACTTAATTATATTTCTGTATTTACTTGATCGGTTAAATTAAAACTTAGCTATTGTTTCTCTCTCAACTTTTACTTACACAAAAAAATTCCGTTATCAGTTTTAGGTAGAGTCGCTATTAAATTGATTACATGTATAGACTATATATATATGTAAAACATCGTTGTGTGAAATTATATACTAAAGTTTTATAATAAATGTACAGTATTTTTTTGATTATCCATGAAAATATATTTATATCTTTAATAAAATTATACTTTCCTATTACTTTTAAATATAAATTGGTGCAGGAATTGTATGTTATTCAAATATTATCATCAACATAAACTATATTTGTTAACTCATTTCACTTAATACACCACAGTTAGTGTAAAAATACATATTATATCTTCATAACAAAGTATATTGTTGAAAAAGTAAACATGGAAATAACTAACCAAGCCAGTTCACAAAGAAACCGTTTCTTATGTAACTGCATGCACAGTTCAAACGATAATATTGAATGTACTCTCTTAGTTATAAATATATTCTCACAAAAATAATGCAAGAAAATGTTACTTTAAATTTAAGAATAACAGTATTTTTAATAAGGGAAACTAAGCGGTGCAATATATTATGCAATTCTTAATACTTGTTAAATATTATTATTATTGTACAAAAATAATTTATCTATCTCTACTTAATTTACAAACTTTGGTTCGTATAATTAATAATTTATGGAGTATTTAAATAAGACTCAGAACAATTTACAGCTAATTTAAACTATTTCAGTACTGCTCTTAGCCATACTCTACAATTGATTATCCTGACTCTATTATTTCGTCATTTCAAGGGCAATAACAAGATGTCATGAACTAAATAGCGCGTCACTGATCCTTATGAGTCAGCTAGGAAGTTGACTTTTATAAACACTACACGCCCTGAGAACGCCATTCAATTCTGTAACGCTACAGACGACGCACGCGCAAAATGTCTACCGGAGTATATCGTGTCGCTTTGCACATTTTAAACTCGATTCATCTGATTTTCGGGTTAGCTATCGCGTCTGCTTCGATATGGTTCTTCTGTGAGGTGCACGACTTCACGACCCTGAGGAATAGCAACCATTATCTCCTGGACTACACAGTATATTGGCCTCAAGCAGTCCCATGGATGTTCTTCATAGTAGCGCTATTTTCCATCGGCGTAGCGTCATGTGGATTCGCAAGTACTAAGAAGAAGAGTAAATCACTTCTAACCGCGTACATAATCGTGCTATCAGTTGTGGTGGTGTGTTTGATTACATCTGGTATAGTTGCTTTAGTTTTCGCTAACAGTAAATCTACAGACGATTTCGTCAAAGACACGGTATGGGATGTGTATTTCCAAGCGAAAGGGGATAACGATGTGGCAGCGTCCTTTGGAGTTATTGAGAGGAAGCTTCATTGCTGTGGAGCTGACAGCCCCCGGGATTATAAAAATTGGAAGTCAGAGTTCCCTGTTTCGTGCTGTGACGTTTATTACCGCGGCTGGTTAGAGCCGTATGCGCTTGACTGCGAATTCACAAACAAATTAGCGAACGAAAGACACGGATGTTCTACAGTTGCTGCGCAATATGCACGTATAGCAATCGTCGTTTTATCAAGCGTAGCACTCCTTACAGCTGTAATTGGTATGATATCGATTGCATACGCCGTTGTGTTCTCCAGAGCTCTAGAGAAGAGGAGTCGCCCGCCACCCCAAAACGAATTCGAAAGCAAAAAGGTTCTATTGTAACAGTGACGTAAGTGTTTTTATGATCTTTGATCTTTAAGGCGAGGTTTCAATTATGACGTAATCGATCGATGGTTGAGTCGATAGAGTTTTAGAAGTCATTTTAAATTATTTATGAATTATATTAAAATTTCTATGTTAGTAGTAAATTGAAAATTTGTACGCTGTAGTGTGTATGGTTGTATAACATAAAACCTGTCGTAACCACTAACCATGTTATTGAACCCATGGCCCACTTACTACACAAAAGGTCATTATTTACTATTACTACGAACGTAAGGTGCACATTTTCATTCAAATACTATTTTTTGATATGAAAAAATAATATTTATTTTTATTCAAAGAATCTCTATTTTATAAAAAATCGATATACGAATCTCTTTTTTTTATATTGATGATTCTTTTTTAAGATTTGAAGTTTTTTCTTTCTCATTTGAGAAAGATAACTAACTTCAATAAAAATTTTCTAGAAAATTCGTTTATTTGTTATGAATATTTACAAGTAAGTGTGAAATGATGGATTTTAGTATAAACTTCATGATAACAATATTTTATTATAATATGACTGTTAATTGTGGCTTTGTTTGTATTTTGGGAAAAGACGGGCTTACACATAAACATAAATTCTTTGTCCGTCTTTACGTAACAAGTAGTTTGAAGGTAATCTTCGTGGAACTTTAAAACGGCAGGCAGATGTTGCTTTGGCATTTATAATATTGATATGTATGTATCAGTCTATTTATGTATATATCTATATAACATGTATGCTTGTCCCTTTGTAACGTATAAATGTTTGTGTGCTGAGTACATGACTGAGTTTTTTGAACAGTACCATCTATGTACAATAGATGGCGCACGAGTTGTAGATAAAGTCAGGACATATTGCTAAAACATTAAATATTTATATGTTATAAAATGCAGAAGTTAATTAATATTCATTTCTAATCAAGCATTTACTAAAGAGAAAAACAAAAATATGAATGTAATCCGTCCAATAAAATCATAGGTAGAGACTTTTTTTAGTGATATGATGACTGTTTTGGGATTCCCAGATGTCATTAAAGATCTGATGACTTATAAGTAGTGAGATTTTTTTAATAAATAATGAAGTAGACAGAATGCGATGTAGTGACTAATAATTCTGTTATTTCTCTACATTTAATGATACAAGTATGATTACACAATTCAAACATTTTCTTAATGCCATATAAGAAGTGACTGTTCGCTAATTAAATTTAGTTAATTATTTCTTTAAACATAAGCACTTTTAAGTTAAAACAATAGAGTTACAAGAATGAACGTTAGTCTATAATAGGTATGGTAGCTAGTTTTTTTGATACAAAGATAGGTATATTAATATTATGAATGCGAAATAGAAATTCTGTCTGTATGTTTCTAATTATTATATATAGTTAAGTTTATATTCAAGCAAAGCCATAGTTAAAAGTAGACCAATAAAGGCACAACAGGATATAATAACACTGCCACAGACGTGACTCACATAACAAGGGTTTAGAGATATAAATCTAAAGTTGCCCCTTGCAAGTATAAACCATTTTATAGGGTTTTTTTAATAATTTGCCCTAATTCATGCAACGTGACATACGTTCTACGAATTTGGGTAAATTAACTAAATTTGGCTTTACATTACGTGATTAGTCAAATTTAGTTCATACATATATAGCGACAGTAAAGCAGTGTGAAAATTGATACTGTTATTAAATTATGCAAAATCATAGTGAAACCTGCTAGTTTAAATTGTTTGAAACTTATTCAAATGGGTATAATATATTAATATACAAAAACCCTTACGTAACATCAAAATGACATAAATTGCAATATGTATACGTATAATATACCCATTAAGGTATTCACGCTTTGAAAACTTTGTTAAGTTAGCTTTGTGTAATGTATTTGATAAGTTATCGATAAGAAAGTAGAGCACTACTTGTTATGTTTTGTCTCTTTCCAACCCAAAGCTTACTGATACGACTGAGAGAGAAAGGTGTATTATTTTTACCATATAAGTAGAATTACCTTATACTAATTTGTTTTTAATATAGTCTAGATTAAGTTTCTGATTAGGGGTTACATTTTTGAAATATGAGTTATTTATTATATTATTAAATTTATAAGTTCAGTAATATTTTGGTAAAGTTTAATTTTTATATCACTTTTATATATAAATTCATGACTAATTCAGTATGTTTATATATGTCAGGTAAAACCAAAATATATAATAAAGGAAAAGTTGAGTACATGCAAATGATAGTTATAGATAATATATCTCTTTTGTAAATAATTAATATTAAGTATGCACTGTGTGTTTGTTTGTTGATTGAGACTATGTACCTTTTCCGACCAAAATGTGTTATTTTGTACATAATTATTTGCATTTTGTGAAGGCTATGAGCTTTAATTATAAATATTTTGATATAAATTTTTGTTTAATTTCTTAACACCATTTTACCCATAATTTAAATATAATTTTAAATAGAGTCTACATTTGTAGAGTATCAGTTTTTTTTCAATGTAATTAAGTTAATTGGTTATTTCAAGTAAAAGTTGTGATTGTTACATGCTAATTATACTTTAATGGTTAAACCATTTAAAAACTATCCATTATAAATAACTGTATCATTTGCGGTTTAATACATTTTTACTTCTTTAATGCTAAAATAAATATATTTTAAAATAAATAAAGATTTACATAATATACATATATTATAGCATATCTAACGTTGGCCTTGTATTTGCATACGTGATGTGGTCACGTCTAACTGAAGAGCTGTTTATAAGAAACTTCATATTTTAAAATTCACAAACATATTTTTGCGTTTTTTCAAGGCCAATTATAATAATCATTGAATATATAGTTTTTTTTATATTTTAGATTTTGTAGAGCTTTGAATTTAGCAAGGAATTTACTGATAGCAGCATTTACTTCAGGAGGAAAAGGTAATTTTTTATTATATTTTACATATTACGTAAAGTATATAAATTAATATATAAAATAAAAATTAAAAAACACCCATCTTGGACCGATTTTCATGAAATATAAAAAAGAAAATCAAAATCGGTTCATCCGTTCGGGAGCTACGATGCCATAGGCATGTAAAACATAACATCCTGTCGTTTTTGCGTCGGTGGTTAAAAATAATCACATCATATGTATACAGATTAACCATAAAATTGACCATTTCATTTGAGATTTCAAGATTGGTGGTCGAATTTCTTTATAAAAAGTAGAAAAATAAGTAAATTCTGAAGTTAAAACGTAGTAGATTCCTTTATTCACTACAAAGAACATAGTTTGAACTTCGCGCTCGAACCGCTATCATATAAAGCTGGGGTCATGTTTTTGGTTGGTCATGCATATTGAAAATCAAAACAAAGGTAACGCCTCTAGCATTAGATAGTAAAAATAAATACCCTTGAAATAATATTGAGTTGAATTCCTTAACATATAAAATAGTATTAATTGCATAATATATTGATTAGCAAATTCTAATTTATGAGATATTTGGCTAATAAGTGCCATTTAGTGGTAATTAAGCAAGGCCCCATAATACCAAAGTGAATGAAAGTTAAATAAAGACGGAAAGCAAAAGCGACTTTGCGTAACTTGATGGCATCAGCAAAGTGTAGAACGAACTGTCATCGATAACCGGTAACATGTTAGTTAAATCACGTATAGTAGTTTTATATTATGCGGTAATATTTATACCATGTGTGACAGGTACGATACGATTGTTGTGACGATAGTGGTGAAACTTTTTGTGAGTGAAATGCTTAGGTTTTTTTTTTATTTTTAAACTATTTTTGTCTTTGTTGTTAAAAATTTTTTCATAAACTAAATCTATCTCCAAAATTATGAAACTATGACCATTCCTATTACATATTCAAGCATCAATAGGTAACAATTGCATGGCAACTTTATGCTTAGAAAAGCAAATAGGACGAAGATAAAATTAATGACAGTAAATGTCACCTCATTAAGCGAATCTAATCTTAGTCACTCTCACTGGACAAATATCGTTATCGTGTCGTGTCATCTAAATCCTACCTAAAAGACCGCGCAAGCTGCGCACGAGTTTATAAAAGGCTTCGCGACATTGCAACGTTTCTCATTCCACTGCCAACCTTCGAACACGTTAGACGTATAAAGATGGCGAAAGAAGATATGTTCAAGGGAGTGCTTTATGTACTGAATGTAATTTACGCGATATTCGGTCTCGTAAGCGCCGCGACCGGTATTTGGTTTTTCGTGCAGCTACAAGAGTTTGTATCATTGAGAAACACAAACCACTATCTCTTGGACTACAGAGTGTATTGGCCGCAAGTGGTACCATGGCTCTTCATATTATTGGGACTGTTTATTATGATCATCGCTTTCTGTGGATGGTGTGGCTCGAATAAAGAAAGCAGAGGATTACTTGGGATGTATAGTATATTCATGATCCTGATTGTTTTGGGACAAGTGATTACAGCAACACTGATATTTATTTTTGTCGATGGAGAACATACTGACAGATTCATTAAGGATACAGTGTATGACGGTTATTATAACTCACAGTCTAACCCTGACGTCTTCAAGTCATTTGGAAGGATTGAACGCAAATTAAAATGCTGTGGTGCCAACGACGCTCGTGATTACAGAAGCTGGAGGAACGACCTACCTCTTACCTGTTGTTTGGACAGCTATTATCGAGCTACCTGTGAATTCACTGATAAGGAGGCCAATGAACGTTTGGGATGTGCCAAAGTTGCGTCTGTTTACACTAAAATTATCAGCTCATCTATTGCTGGCGCATCTCTAATTATGTCTCTAGTGGAGATAACCGGAATAATTCTTGCTTGGAAGTTGTTCAAATCTTTGGAGGAGGTAGAGCATTATATTACGGAAAGAAAGGAGGGAGAGACCGAGTGTTAATTTAAACTAAACGTAGCGCGAGCTAGTGTTGCCTGATTTCACAATGTTTGAATAGTTCGTATGGTATTGTGAGTGGTCGAATTCACGGTTGAATAATTTAGGTGAGAATCTCTTTATATATTGTTATGCCCAAAACATGAGCCATATAAATTATATTAACTTTTTTATTCTCTTCATATTTTAATTTTAATGGCTTAATTAGATATTAATTTATATTCCATTAAAAATGACGTCACTTGCAACACGGCGGTAATAAGACGCCGCATAATTATTTCGCAGGAAAAACTAATGTATCTATAATTAGCATTCCTGACAACTTTGTAATTATTGTATTGTAATTTATCGAGAGTTGACTTTATCACAATATTCTTACTTTGGTGCTTTGCCTTTAGCCAAATTTTACCACCGATTTTGTATCGCACATACTCGTACGTATACGCGTTTAAGTTAGTGTTGGTCTGAGAGCCGATATATCCGCCGATTCGATTCAGCCCTGGGCGATTCTCGAAGATTTTTACTTTAAGCTATCGAATAAAGTTCATTTCCTTAAAGAAGGAAAACGAATTTTTATCATTCTTAAGTTAGTTTCGAACTGACTATTGTTACCATTTTTGTGTCATTTTACGGTAATCGGTCTCTATGTAGAGTTTATAGAGTATGTTATTGGTAAATATATTTTTAATATTATGTATATTTTTGATGAATTTTTCAGAGAATATATTTTAAATTAAGATAATATATTATAAATTAGAAAATTTAAGAAGTTTTGATAAGATTTTTAAGATGGCAAAACAACATTCTCAGTATTTATATAAAATTAATCCGTTTATTTCTAGTACAACTGATTCACAGCGCACAGATGGACATTAATTAGTTTGTCAAATTCACAGTTAAATTTAAGACACACCCAGGTCCAGGTCAGTTCTTTAATTTGACGCCTCATAAGTTTAATTTCCTTCTTAGTTCTATGAATCATTACCTGACTCAGTAGCTCAATTGTGTGACCTCGATGCCCCTCCACAAGAATATAGTAAAGTTTGTAATACATGGCTGATTACGCAAGAAGTTGAATGGCAGCTAATGGTATATAACGCCATGGACACTGCGGCTCTACATAGCGTATAGAGTTGGAGTTAACAATGACATCAATGTATGTACCAGGTACCTATTAAATACAACGCCGGTTCTAATACGCTCTAAACAACAATTTTATAATACAAGCTTGGAGCCTGTTATTGTTGTTTACATATATAGGAAGTATTTTTTTGTAAGGCCTTTACATATTTAAATTTATGTTATTTAATAATAAATTCTTAGTATATATTTATTTATTTATACATTTTTGTTATATTTTATAGTAATCTACATCTTTGTATAGTGTGCTATAGCATAGCTGTATTGGTGGAAAGTGATGTTTCAAGCTGGTAGTCGGGTATGAGAAAAATTTGGCCTCGACTCTCTTAGCTATGTGCCTCTAATTTGGTACCACTTATGCAATCCTAAAAAATGTTAAGCTAAGACTACCAATTTTACCTTTGACATTTTGTGTTGAGAGAATGTTTAGACAATGTAAATATTTTCAATAATCAAAATAATTATATTAATTATCAAATAACTTTTCAGAACTTCTTTTAATAACGCCTGAAAATGAATATTATTTAGAAACTAAAGTTATCGAGTTATTTGTAACAAATCAAGATACTCATATTGTTTACATGTAAGGTTGCGTCATTGTTAAAATGCGAGCCTTCGCAGGTTGTGTTTATATTCAAAGTACTGTAAAATACGTTTAGTATTTTGAGTAAACTTTGAAAAAAGTGTGTCTCTATTAATATTATTACTTTAATAATATTCCTTTTTAATTTAATATTATTTTGTTAAAATATAAAGAAATATCATTGGAGTTATATTTGCGCTTTATATACAATCTATATTAATATATCTATTATTATGATAATAATATACATACTAAGCTTTATTATATAACGACTTTAAAGTATATAATAATACTTTTACATCCTTATATATATTTAATTATGTGAGAACAACGATTTCAAGAATTATTATTATATTTTATTTATACATATATGTATGTTTCTATATGTTATTATTAATTCATAGCATATTATATTGGAATGCGCGAAGGTATGTCGATTTGTATGTAGAGTCGTGTTTGTTTTCGTCACAGTTGCGTAACGTTTTAGAGGTCTATCGATGGCATGGGTGTTTCTTTCGTAACAATTTCGAAACGCAAAAGAAAAAGCCGGCCGTGACACAAATATTTGCGAAATGTGTTTTAAAGTGCCATCTTAGAGCGATTGCCTGATAGTTTTAAATCATTTAAGTTTTAAAACGTACAATATTCAATTAAACCGTCTATTTTATATAAGGGAATCCGTCCTTTCAATGTTACATGTAACTATATTTATATGCCAAAGACATGTACATGTATGTACATAAAGGATTTTTGCATGCGAAATAGTATAACTCTATGCACACTCCACTGAATTGAGTAAGTTATTGTAAGTCGGAACTAGTCTTAAGTCGTTCATATAATAATATTTTTAATATAACTTGTAAGAAATAAAAGTTATAGAATCTCATTTATTGGTTTTTTTATTCATCTCTTACAAATATACCTCTAAGTTAGAGTCGCTTTCATTATCAATCGAGACACTTCATAATTAGGTCATTTGAAAAATAGTTTCAATGATAAATGGAGCTTTAAAACCGTACCCGCCAAGCATTGCCCACAATATTTTTTTCTAAAAACAAATTCATAAAATTCATAATAATCAACATACTCTACATAGTATGTAATGCATTTATATAGTAGCATGGATTCCGGCCTTCAAACCCACAGCTTACACTAAGTAGTTATTACGTTACTATACATAGGGACAATATTTATTTTATACTTTGACATTTTAAACACGCACATTTAAATTAGATAGAGCATGAAAAAAGAGCTATAAAACAAATTACATTTTAATTAATAATATAATTAGCAAATTGAATTTAATTATTATAAATAATAGATACAGTATGAAATTTATTATTATATTAATTTAATTTTAATTACTGATTATTAGGAACCTTCACCCAACATGCAAAATTAAAATAAAAGAACGTTGACATGTAAAAAATGACAAGAGCTTTATTATCTGGCTGCTAAGCGCCACAAAATAATATTTTTTTTGCAATAGATTTAAATCTACAAGCCACTTTATTTACCGATATAATGAACTATAATTATTACAAAACGATGTAATTTGTATATATATTATGTAAAATTTGTGCATGTATGTTGGTAGTGCTTCATCAGCCTAAAACGGCTGGACGAATTTGGATAAAATTTAGTACATAGATAGATATAAGTGGAGAAACAAATAAGCTACTGTTAGGCATCCAGTACAAGTCGGCTTCCTTTCTATATTTCTAAAATGTTTTATATATTCTCTAAAAGAAATAAAAACGAAGCTAACAAAGGGGACCAAATAAACACATACCAGTAGTATAAAGAGAAACCACGGTTTACGCTGAAGGTCACTATGGAATCTTAAATGTTGCTCCAAAAGTACATGAACTAGAAATGACATCTAATAATATTATAAATATGAACGTTCATGAGGATGGATGGATGTTTGTTGCTTGTTTGTTAGTTGTTGTTCTTCCGCGTCAAAACGACTGAATGGATCTGGATGAAATTTGGTACAGAAATAGTTTATAGTCTGGAATAGCACTTAGGCTACCTGTTATTCTGAAAATTATATAAAAAAAAATCCCGTGGGATTGATTTGTTTTTGTCTAGCGTAGAACCCGAAGCAAAGCGGGGATGAGTCGCTAGTACAAATCTATAGATAAAATAACATATTCATACAAAATTAAAAACAATATTATATAGATATAAATTCTTTGAGAGTCACATCTCTACATTCTTACTCTACGTTTTGACCTACATTTAAGGAGTTATGCCGTTTGTGCAAACGTTGATAAATAAACAAAATAAGTGTCGCTTAGCGGGTTTCGACACGAACCTGGGGCCGGTGTAGGCGTTACATAATATTACTTTACTTATTAGATGTAAGCAGTAGCCCAGTGGTGATACACTTGCTTGGAAAACTAAGTGCTGCGAGTTCTAATCCCGGATCATTCGAATCATTTTCCACATGATTGTATACATTGTGATGTCCGTCCACACTCGGCCAGCGTGGTGGACTATGGCCTGATTCCCCTCGTACTGAAGGGAGGCCCGTGCCCAGCAGTGGGACGTTAAAAAGGGCTGAATACAATACTCACATATAGATGGATTCACTATAAGTAACTAGTAATATTTTTAATAAAAACATATAAAACTGTAAATAAATGGCAACAATGGACCTTGTAAGCATTTACAAGCTATTGAGTTGACGTCGAGGCTGATCCTTTAATTATATACCATTAAATGTATAATTTCATTCAATACTGTTGTAACGATGCTTGTGATGCTTAAGGTCCAAGGCGGAAGACCCAAGTTCGAATTCTGCACAATGTAAATTTAAGCTAAAAATATTTTTTTTTTATCTCAAACATGTCTTAAAAAGATTAGATTTGCCTTAATGCTTATTTTGTATCCCAAGATTTTATACAAGTTTTTAAGTACATAATATATTATCTATACTAATATTATAAAGACGTAAAGTTTGTAAGCTTGTGATGTTGTAGGGGGTAATCTCTAGATCTCCTGAACCGATTTAGATGAAATTTGGTAAGAAGGTAGTTTGAGACCCTGGGAAGGACATAATATACTTTTATCTCGGAAATCATCCCATAAAGGGGTGAAAATGGGGATAAAAGTTTGTATTGGGAAGCAAGCTAGGGGCGAACTCGAGCGAAGCGTAGGTGAGTCGCTAGTTATATATAAAGGACATTTAACTATGAAATTATTGTGTGTGTTTGTATGTTACTTATTTACATTGTAACGGCTCAATTAAGTGAAATTGGAAATACCAAATTGC